TTCAATCTTTTATAGGCTCTCTGATATTAAAGATGACACTTAACTTATCTGATACATACACATAAAGTGCTAACACGTAAAGAGTTTAAAGTAGGACTTTTCTCAGTTTGATAAGTATTAAACAGCAATAGGGCCTGTTCTGTAAGTGAATTGAGAATAAATTGTCCAGCAAATTTTCAAAGTCTCACAGTATAATCAGTCGACTTGTGGTAGATCCACTCTATTGTCAATAAATATCCACTCAGAATCAATATTGAATCACCTTGAGAATTACCAGACAACTTTATGCTGGTATGACCATAAAATTTTAGGATAAAAATGGAATAAGAAAGAAACTACAAGTAAATATAGCTTCCACAAGAACAGAGATATCTTTCATTTTTGTTTCTACTGTATCTCTAGTGCTTAGGAAAAGTAAGTAGTTACATACATATTTATTGAATGAATGGAAGACACCAGAGACTTTAAGAAAGTGAAAGAAGACTTCTTCGGGAAGGCAAAGAGATTCACACACCCACAGATCCCAGCAGAGTTCATTCCCTTCTTCAAGCCTGGCATTCCGCCAAGACAGTATGCTATGGAGCAAAGAAAAAAGTGATCCACAATTCAGCTAAAGCCATTAAACAGCACAGTAAAAGCAGCGCTCCTCTGATAATTGACATCCATTGTCAGTCCAGATACTGTATAGAATCATCTACAGATGTTTTTTTATCACCAAAATATTGCAGAATTATAATAAATAATTAAAAACAAGTAAAAGCTGAAGTGAAAATATATGAAAATTTGTGGTAAGAATATGGCTCTCTTTTCATTCTCAAAAACATCAGTGATTTTCAATATATAGGGACTTTCTCCAAGATGAATCTCAAAGCCGATGCAAACATTTTTCTTTAGTAAATAGAGATGGGGAATGCTGGAGAGGGTGGTTATAGTGGTAAGAAAAGAGCCCCCAAAGTGATCCTCCCAAGGGTTGAGGTCCAAATAAACATAGTCGAGTAGAATGGACTATCATGTTGGTGAGTAAATTTGGTTCCTACTGCCTCTGTAACACATTACCACCATCTTGGCAGCTTAAAATAACACAAATGCATTATCTTATAGTCCTGGATGTTGGGAATACAAAAAGGATCCCACTGGTCTAAACTAAAGGTGATGGCAGGACTTCATTTTTCTGAGGAACCCTTGGGAAAATCTGTTTCTTTAGCCTTTTCTGGCTTCTGGGAGCTGCCTGCATTCCTTGGGCCTTGGCTTTGTTTCATCTTCAAAGCCAGCAATGCCCTGTCCAAACCTTTATCAGGCTACTTCACTATGACACTGACTCTTCTGCCTACATCTTGCACATCTGAAGTACCCTTGCAATTACAATGGCCAGGAAGCGCCAGCATATTCTTATTTTTGAAGTCGGCTGATTAGCAATCTTAATTGCATCAGCAACCTTAATTCTTTTTCCCCTGTAACATCACATATTTACAGGTTCTGGAGAATAGGATGTGGATATCACTGAGGGACCTTTATTCAGCCTACCACAGTGAAAGTGCCATTTAATTTAATTTAAAGGGTTTAAAATGGGCACCAAAAGGTGTGTGCTCAACCACATTTGTGCTTAAGTTCAGTTGCTCTGTTTGCCCCATGGAGCACAGAAAGGAAGAGCTCAAGACTAGAGGAAGGATGTAGGGGTAAGGGACTCAGAGGATTTAAGAACCACCAGGCTTCTGTCTTGGAGAAGTAGGTACATGATGGGGCCCTCTCCAAAGAGTGTCTGGGGGAACTAGATAGATGTGCATTGCAAGTGGCTGAGATCCAAGCTGGTTCTAATCCCTGCCACATTTCCACATTGCCAAAGATAATGAGAGCTTGGATGTGACTGCAAGAGAAGACTTGATAGACAGGATAGTGGAAGAAGTAGCCAGGACTATCCTGACACCTGGCCATGGGGCAACAGACCTGAAAGATCCTATGACCTAGTGCGGGTCCTTACAAGGGAAGGCCCTCCTTCTTGGGCAACTCTGGGGACTGCAAAATGGCAAAACATGTGACCAGTCTGAATAAGAGGGGGAAAATAACTGTGTGGTAGAAATAATGGGCACAAAGCAGTGGTTGGTTTTCTCGGGCTAGAGGTGTGGGTCTGCCTTCCTTTAGAAAAGGCACAGTGGTGAGGCCTCCATGGGAGCCCCCTCCCACCTTAGCTCATCAGCCTCCAGGAAAGAGGGCAGGCCAAATCGGGAAGCGCATGGTGGGCAGACCAAGCAGCCTGGGGGTTCTCATACACATAGGGGCTGTTGATACATATCTGCTGCTGCCTGCAGAGCACTGCCACCATCACCACCACCACCACCCCTGACCTCTCGATTCTAGCCCCCACCACCAATGGTCCCCAGGTTCCTTTTATTGCTGTGCCAGCAGTGAGGAGGTGGTCGCCTCAGAGGTCTGCAGAGGTCCGCCCCTTAGGCTGGCGCACCTCCTGGCCCCACCCCCCCCACCCCCCGGTTGGAACTAGGGTGGGCCAGGGAGCGGGCATCTAGCCCATTTGTGCTGTATCCCTCCGCCCCCTTCCCGACACCCTTGCTGAGAGCGGTTCTTGCCGCATCTTGCGCAGTCCCTGCTCAGTTTAGTTTGGTGGGGCACCGCGGGGGGTGGGACGCCTTTTTGCGATTCTGACCGCCCTCTAGGTGGTGGGAATCCGAGTGAGGAGCTCCGAGAAGAGGGGGAGGACAACGACCTGCACCTTGAGCCTGTGAAGGCAAGTGGGTTGTCGTGGGGAGGGTGGGGGGACCCCCACTGTCGCCCGGCTTACAGCCTGCCCGGACCCCAGCCTCTGGCAGCCTGGCAAGGGAGAGGCGACCCGGTCGTACGCCGTCCGTGACAGAGGTGCGCAGCGCCGCGGGATCCCTGGCAAGGAGAGGCAGTGACCGGTGCGGGCCGGGCCCAGGGCATGGGGGCTAGCGGGAGATGCTCCCTCAGATCCTCTGGAGCGAACTGCGCCAGCCACTCCGCAGCGAGCTTTCCAGGCGCCCATGACCCGCCCTGGACAGTGCTGTGCCCAGAAAGAGCTGTCGGGGTGGGGGAGGGGGAGAACCTGCTATAACAGAAATGGCGGAGCTGGAGCTGGGAGGGGGTGCAGCATCAGAGTTGTGTGTCCATCTGGCGGGGGGGAAAGGGGGCGGTGGTGTCTGCTACTCCCGGGCCCTAATTCTGGAAAGGGGCCTGTTGGACCTCGTGCTCTGGATGCTGCCTCTTCCCACAGGTGCCCGGTTGATATGCAGTTTTCAGTCTTCGTGGTAGGTCTGGCGGTTTCATCCCACAGGTTGCATTTGTAGAGGAGAGGCTTGAAAAAAAAGGAAGAGCAGGACAAGATGCCTGACTCTGGTAGTGTATGGGGGAGGGGCATGAGCAGCAGCCATTGAATGTAAACACAAATATGAATGGAGTTAACTGTGACCAGAACAGGTCAGGCATCCAGGAATACCTTCTAAAATTCCCCTTTGTACTAGCTTTCTAAGCCCTTCCCTTGCCTTTCTTCCTCACCTTCACTCAAAATTGGTAGCAGTAAAAGATGGACTAGGAGGTGAGGGTGAGACAGAAGTCATAATTACAAGTGCCACTGCACAATCTGTTTTCTGTAACATGATGGGTACTTTACCCCCCACTTCTGTAGTACCAGTACAAGGTACTGTGAACACCTACTGGTGAATCCTCGTAACTGGAGAAGGGAGTAATGTAATGGTCAGAGTGTAATGTGAAAAGCAGCTGTTATCCAGAACCCTGAAACAGAGGGCCTAAATTAAATGAGAATATTCTCTCAACAGGTCCTCTAACTCTTGTTTTCAACAAGATAGAAGATAATATGGATACTTTTTGGTGTTGGTCTGTCCACCAAGCATTCAGTTGCTGCCATTATTTCCTGAATGTTTTGCCTTTGTGTCTGTCCATAGACTTCCTTTAAGGCTGCTCACTTCTATAAGGAAGGAGAGGAGGAGACTGGTTCAAATCTCTGGAGGTTGGCGTGAAGGTGGCTAAATCAGGGGAACACTATAGAGTAAGATCATGGCAAGTGTCTTTGATCCAAGTGGGTATGGGAACTCCTCCATCTCTCCTGCTTGCTGCTATATTTGCAACTGCCACAGCATCCCTTTTCCATTTCCTTCAATAGATATTAGGAATATTGGGGTATGTGTGGATTGGTTGTGATAGGGAAGAGAAAACCTGAGAACATGGACATTGAGATAGGAAACAACAAATTGAACTCTTGTGGTAAGAGATACTTCCATCAGGGTCAGCGTGCCCTCTTATTTATCCACAGTCAGGCTCCACTCTTTCCTTTATTTTTACTTATTCCAAGGCTGCTTTAGGGCTTGACGACCCTGGAATCAAGGAAAGGAGGGGAAAATTGCACCACATCCTTGCAGGTTGGTGTGAAGTAGGTACAACTTTGGGTGGGGAAGTGGAAATCAACACTGGCCCAAGAGTGATTAGGGTAATCTGGGGCCTCCTAAGCCTCTCCCATTGCCAACACTCACCAGTTTCACACCTGTTTTATAGCAGGCAAAGTAATGTGGCAAAATCTGGGGTAAAACATGTGTGTCCAACTGTTCCACTAAGTATTCAAGGTCCAGTCTCTCCATGTGAATCTCTGCATGGAGTGATGCAATTAGAAGAGATTCAAAGCCCCATGTCATTCTTTTTCCTTAGATCCACCTCTAGTGGCAGCTCTGGTGGTGTTGGATTGCTGCTGACCACCACCGTCAACAAGTCTGCTCCTACCTGGGAACATCCATCGTCCCGCAGCTTGCTTGTACCTATGCACTTTGTGGTATTGACTGAGGCTAGGCTTTGGAAGGAGATCGATTGATTGATGGATTGGTGATTGACTCTAACTCTTGTTTTCAACTATATCACCTGAACTGAAGATCATAGTGTGAAGATATAAAACTGTGAGAGATCTGTGGTAGAGGCTGAGACATGTAGGGGTACTTAACTGGGCCTCCTCTGTAACTTATACCATGACTGGGGCTGAGATTGAACATGGTGCTCAGGAGAAGCCTGAAAAGAAGGCTGAAGAAGAGATTGGGGGTGGGGCTGAAAGAAAGAATAAAGTCCCACTGGTGGTCAGACCCAAGGTTAGAACCCAGGCACAGGTAATGCCTGGGGTAAGGCCTAAATCTGATGTCATGGTAGTAAGTGGGGCAAAGCCCAAAGCAGAAACCATGGCAGTAGGTGTGGTACATACTAAGAATGAGGCCAAGGTAATCCCTGGGGTGAGGCCTACAGATAAAACCCCTTCATGGACCATGACTGAATATGATGGTGAGGAGATGTTGAAGAGAGAGGGAGTGTCCCAGAGCAATTCCATAGCCTGGCCACTGGTCAGTACTGAGTTTGAGTCAGTTGCTAAAACGAAGACCTTATCTATGGATAAGGAACTGATCAGTGTGGACACTGATTCCTTTCCTGTCACCAAGGTCAAGTCCCAATTAGGAATACAGCCTTTGTTTGGGTCAGAGGAGAAGTCCAATGTGGGATCCTGGTGGTGCCCCACGCCTACATTCAAACAAGAGATCTCTCACAATTGTGATTTCAGATGGGTGGACAGATCTTGTCTGAATTCCTGGTTCTGGAGTGGAGAAGAGGTCAGTACAAAGTTTCGTCCTAGAGACAGGGTAAAGGCCAATGCCAGATCCAGGCACAAGGCCAAAGAAGAGGACATGTCTAGGCCCAATACCAACTGGGAGTTTTATGTGTCTAGTGCCGGCTCTGAGGATGAATCTATTAAGACATCCTGGCTCTGGGCCAGAGAAAAGGCTAATATCTGGTCCATGCCCAAGGAAGAGACCAATAACAGGTCCAGGTTTAGGTCCAAGAAAGAAGTCTTTGAGTCCATTTCTGGATCTGAATGTGAGGACAATGTGAATTCCTGGCTCTGGGCTAGAGAGGAGGGCAAATGCAGATCTAAACCCAGAGTCAGGAAAGGGGCCAATGTCAGGGCCAGGCACAGGACCAAGCAAGAAGCTTCCATTGATTTTGTATCTGGATCTTTAGATGTAGTCCAAAAAGAGCCCTGGTTCTGGCCTGGAGAAAAGGCTAATAACTTGTCAAGGCCCAAGTTCAAGAAAGAGGCCAAGGCCAGAATAATGGCAAATGAAAAGGTCAAAAATAAGGCCAGAGCCAGGGCCAAGCCAGAAACCAGGTCCAAAGAGGAGTTCCTCATTGGGACCTGGTTCTGGGCTGCAGAAGAATCCAGCATAGTAGGTGGGGCCAGTGTCAAGTACAGCTCTCAAGTGGAGGATGATTCCATTTTTGGCAGTTGGTTCTGGACTGAAGAAGAGGCCAGTATAGAGACTGATGCTAGCAGTAAATCCAGACCAAGCACTGAGGAGGAATCTACTGGCAATTTCATCCTTGGGTCTGGGGAAAAGGCCAGTATGGAAACTGGGGCTGAGGCCACCTCCAAATCTATGCTAGAAGATTATAAAGAAAACGTCATTGTTGGTTCCTGCTTCTGGATTTGTGAAGAGACCAACCTAGAGGCTGAGGAAGAGACCATTTTTGGGTCTTGGTTTTGGGTCAGTGATGGGGCCAGTATGGAAGTTGATATTAGAGCCAGCTGTGCATCCAGGCTAAGGTCTGAGGAAGAAGGGGTCATTGGTCCCTGGTTCTGGGATGGAAAAGAGGTTGATACAGAGGCTGAGTTTGTAGAAGCCAGGCCAGGAGATGAAGAAGAGTCAATATTTGGGTCCTGGTTTTGGGCTGGAAACCAGGCCAAGATGGATTCTGGGGCTAAATTCAGTTGTGATACCATGCCAGGGGCTGAGGAGGAACCCATTATTGGGTCATGGTTCTGGAATGGAATAGAAGCTTGTGTGGGGACTGAGGTCAGCAACAAGTCTACCCTGAAGGACAAGGAGGAGGTTATTATATCATCTTGGTTTGGGACCACAGAAGAGGTCAGTATAAAGTATGGAACTGGTACCAGATGCAAATTTATGGCAGAGGCTGAAGAGATCAATAATGAGTCTTGCTTCTGGGATGAAGAAGACCCCTGCATATATACTGCCAATGGAAGCAGGTGGAAGTCTAGGCCAGAGGAGGAACAGGACACTGTTAATTCATCGTTCTGGTCCAGGAAACACACAAGGCCAGAGACCATTATAGGGCCCTGGTTACAAGCTACAGAAGAGGTCAGTACAGATGATGGGACTGGAGAAGAGACCAACCCACTGATCGAGGAGGAGACCATGATCACATCCTGGTTCTGGAAAGGAGATGAAACCATTAGAGTGGCTACAGACAAAGAAGAATCCAGGCCAGATGCTGAGGAGGAGGACATTATTGGTTCTTGGTTCTGGGCTGGGGAGGAGGACAGGCTCAAGACAGCAGCTGAAGCTAGAGAAGAGGACAGGCTGGCAGCTGAGGAGGAAGCTATTGTTGGGTCTTGGTTCTGGGCCAGGAAAGAGATCATTAGGAAAGAGGCTGGCTTTTGCAACAAATGCAGTCCAGAGGCTAAAGAGGAGGAAGCCATTGTTGGGTCCTCGTTCTGGGCTGAAAAAGAGGCCAGTATGGAGGCAGGAGCCAGTTTCAAGTCCATGCCAGTGACTGAGGAAGAAGAAATCACTTCCTCAGTCCTGGTTGGGTCCTGGTTTGGGGCTGAAAAAGACAACAGTATAGAGGTTGGGCCTCAGGCAATAGAAGAGAGCAGGTCAAGGACTGAAGAAGAAATCATTTTTGGGTCCTGGTCCTGTGCTGCAAAAGAAGTCAGTGTAGAAGCAGAGACATTCTGTGCATTCAATCCAGAGGATGATGAGATAATTGTTGAGTCTTGGTTCTGGTCTGAAGAGAAGGCTATTAACGAGACTGGAACTGTTGTAACTTGTAAGACCAGGCCAGACAATGAGGAAAAGGCCGTTTTTGGGTCCTGGTTTGGAGCTAAAGATGAGGCCAATAACAGGACTGACAATGGGACCAACTGTGAGACCAGGACAGTAGATGAGGAGGATGATCCCATAGTGGGATCCTGGTTCTGGGCAGGAGATGAGGCCCATTTTGAATCAAACCGTAACCCTGTGTTCAGGGCCATTTGCAGGTCTAGGTGTTCATTTGAGCAGGAACCTTCCCAGAGCTGAGAAGAGGTCACTGTTCAGTTCAAGCCTGGTCCATGGGGTAGGGTTGGCTTCCCATCTCCAATACCCTTTAGATTTCCAAAAGAAGCAGCATCTATGTTCTTTGAAATGTTTGGAGGAAAGCCAAAGCACATGGAACTTAACCCAGAAGGGGAAGAGCAGGAATCTTTGCTTCAGCCTGATCAGCCTGATCCTGAGTTCCCATTTCAATATGATCCATCCTACAGGTCAGTCAGGGAAATTCGGGAACATCTTAGGGCCAGAGAGAGTGCAGAACCTGAGAGTTGGTCCTGCAGTTGCATACAGTGTGAGCTTAATATTGGTTCTGAAGAGTTTGAAGAACTCCTTTTATTAATGGACAAAATCCGAGATCCTTTTATTCATGAAATATCT